TAAAGTTTTCTTTACATAGACAGCACTAACTATAAAAGACAAAACATCAATCAAACTAAAAAAAAAAAAAAACTAAAAACTCTGCTTCAATAGAAGCACTGTTGATAAAATGAATTGGTAAGCCAAAGTGTAGAAGAAATATTCCCCATCCATATCTAGGACAATGGATGAGAATCAGAATATATGGAGAACTCCAACAAATTGGGAATTAAAAGGTAAATAATCTAATATTTGAAAACAGGCTTAAGATTAGCATGGCATTCAATTTTCCGACCTGGACTTGGCACTTAACACTATGCTCCAGGTACCAAAGAGCCTGAAGAGAATGGCCATGACCCAAGTTAGACACCAAGGACTCCAACTCAAGAGGGCCAAGACTTCTAACCTTCCCATGGTTGCAATCTGTCCCATTCTCCAATGTAATCAAGAAACCCTGTGTGGGTGTCCAGCCTCAGGGTAGTTCTAGTCTCAGCAGGGGCAGGGAAGGGGACATCAAGAGTCAGCTATTGAAGCCAGGGCTCCGGCAGAGCCTGCATGAGGCAGGGACAGGGGCTGAAAGCCTCTCTCTCCAGACTGCCCAACTCCCTGGACCCTGGAAGCCCAGCAGCCCAGCATCTGTCTTCCCCACACACCTGCTCTTCTCTCTACCCCACAACCCTTTGCACCTGCTGCTAGTAATGAACACCCAAGCTGTCTTCCCCCAACAAAGAGAAAGCCTAATTAAGGGACATGGAGAACCCAGCATGCAAGATTTAAAGTTATCTCAGGAGCTGGTGTCCCACAGGTAGTAGAATAAAGGGCTAGGTTCACCTCTGCCCAAGCCTTCCTGAACCCTGAAACTACTCACTGGTAGCCCGGTCCCTTACTCACTGGGTCCTTCTCAGTAGGCTCTGAGATACAATCTCCCAACCTGTCCTAGAAGCCCAGGTGAAGAGACATACTCCATGAGTCAAGGTCCCATCATCTGGAAGAAGGCTAAGCTGGGGGGACTCTGACACAGGAGTGGCAGAGGGGCCTTCCTCTTCCCTGCACAAAGAGCCAAGCCAAGGGTGGGAGTGGGGTCTCATTTGCCTCATCCAAACAGCCCAGACAGCAGGAGCAGCTTCTGCAGGCTCCCAACATCTCCTCACTCACCTCTATCCTCTTTGTCCCAGCTTTGTCTGTGCAGAGTGGATTTCCTGCCCAAAACAGAGCCCTGCTAGTGCCCGAGACAACCGTGAGCAGCTGGCCAGTCCTGCTGCCATGTCATGCACTGCCCACCACCCCACGCCCAGCTGAAGCCCCCAAGACACATTGGCCACTGTTCTCTGCAACGAGGGCAGGGGTAGCGGGAGCAAGGATGACCTTGGAAGCCATTAGGCTACATCACAGCCCTATGTCCTGCCCTCAGTTTTCTGTGTTCACAGAGAATCCTAGTGCCTACCTTGCAGGATTTGAGATGGATGCTGGGAATGTCTGGATCAGTGGTCCATAAACAATTTCAAGCACATAAACTCTTGTTCAAATGAAGTCTCAGGAGAAGCTCCAACACATAAAATTGCTCTGTCGGAAGCAGAGGTGGAAGGCCCCGGGACACCTCTGCCAGATCCTGGAGGTCCAGGGAGCCCAGAGTGGAAACACCTGATACCAACGCTGGCAGCCAGCTGGCAATGCCACAGCAAAAGAGGGAGGGAGATGGATTATCTGACAAACTGGCATCCAAAGCTGGGTGACTCCCTAGGGAGGCAGAGGTGGACACGGGGAGGGGAACTGCCACAAGTAAGGGTGCTCTCAAAGAAGCTGCCAGCAGGTGCCCACTGTCTGAGTCTAGCACCCCACTCTGACCTCCTGTGGAAGATAAGATAAGGAAATGAGAGACTCCTTTGCCATGAATGCTTCCCACCTGTTGAAGGCTCTGTTCTTTACACAGAACCCTGTACGTACCAGCCACAATGTTCTTCCCCTAAGTCTTTTTCTATCCAAATCTAGCTTGCCCTTTAATGTTGTTACCACCTAAGGGAAGGCTTCAGTGATTGTCCCCAGTCAAAAGCAGCAATCTCTCTCTGACAGTGGGGCCATGGCAAAAGGCATGAGGCTCAGTTTCCTCCATCTGTAAAATGGGAATGTAGAGATTGAGCAGATCCATGCAAAGGCCCATCTCAGTCCTGGCAAACAGCAGCCACTCAATGATGGCAGCTATTCATTGTGGTGTTTTTAATAGTCTATTCCTCCCCATCCCATCCCATTTCACCCCTGAGCTCAAGATGCTGGCACACAGTAGGGGTCCATCAAATGTTTACCCAAGTGACCAGCAGGTGGCCCCACACTCCAATTAACCTGTCCTGCCTGATGCCTGCTCCTCTGCAATGGTTCCCTGAAGTCACTCGCTGCTTTCACCTGATGAGAGGAAAGAGAAAGAGGGTGGAGCCCAGTGTACCAGGCTGCTTGACATTTTACCTAGCAGATGTTTCGTGCTGTATTCATAAGCTTGGCCATTCCTTTCTTCTCCATTGAAGGCCTGCCTCCCTTTTGTGAGCATTCGTCCCATTTAACAAGTAAAAAAACAGATCTAATGAAGTGTCTAATGAATCTGAGACCACAGAGCATTCCTCACAGTCCCTACACTGGTGGCAACAGCTCTGCTAAAGACTCTCGAATCATCCAGGCCAGTTTCTTGATGGGGAACCTCAAAAATGAAACAGCCTTGGTCAAGGCCTCTTGGGACCAACGTTCAGGCTCCTAAATACCCCCTTCCACTCCATACCCAGGCTGGGAACTCTGCTTCCCAGACCCTGCCCTGCCTGCTGATCCTGATTCCAAGGGGTAAGCAGCTGGCAGCCCCATGGGACAAAAGGCAGCTTTTTACCCTCCTGTGCTGGGGGCAGCCAGGGGAGCTGGGGGCAGCTGGGAGCCCTGCCTCAGGATACAAAGACTCAAAGCCCAAGGCCTCCAGGCCCAAGGCAGCTGAATCTGCAGACAGCTACTGGTCCCACCCCACCCCCAAGCCCGCCAGAGACAGAGTAGCAAGCAGGACTGCAAACACCAAGACCCCCTCAGCGGCTGCAGAGGGCTGCATTTTGAGACTGAATCGAGGGCAGAGAGGGGCTGGTGTAGAATAGCAATGAGCCAGACTGCTGGAAGCCAGCCAGCATCAGGCTCTGAAGACACAGTCAGCAGGCTACCTTCCTCTCTTTCTCTTTCTCACTCTCTCTCCCTCACACACACAGATATGTGTATGTGTGCCTCTTAGGCAATTATTCACTGAAAGCTTTCATGGAAGCCCCCCCAGGGAGCCCATGCTAATGTGTGTCTGAACTAACTGCTGGGAATGTTGGCCACTTGGCTTCTTGGCTCACCTGAAAAATGGCCAGAAATCTCCCATTTCACAGATAGTCACACTGAGACCTCAACAGCAGTGTGACCTAGCCAAACTTTGGCCCCCCCAGCCCCGACTTGTTGCAGTGACACCTAATACCAGAGACTGGGGGGCAGAATCCTCCTGGGCCCTTGGAAATGGCCAGCCAGATATGCCTTCTGCAAACCATCTCTCCTGCAACCCCTTCCTCTAAGAAGTAACAGACTGAGTATGACCAACAAGCCTTCCCTGGGTCTTTGCATGCAGATACCTGAGTAGATGAGATAGAGCCCCGAGGACTTTTGCTGGTATGGTTTTTCATGTGAAGGCCAGGGCAACCCAGGAACAAGGCCAGCCCTGGAGAAGCATAGACTGGAGAGCTAAGGTATAGATAGGCACAGAATCCCTCTGACGAACCTGCAACCAGCCAAGCATGCTTCCTAGCCATGGGGATGTGTAAGTTTCCTCTAAGTCAAATTACTCCATGATGCTGCCTCCTCCTCCAGCCAAATCCTTCTGTGATAGACTACTCTGGGCCATGGTTCAGCCACATTTTGAGCTTCTCCCTCCCTGCCTGAGCTTTTGCTTCTGCCCTTTTTGCACCCCACAAGGTATCAGGCCTGGGGGCGGGGCATGGTACCCAGGTTAGGAGCCACCTACAACCCCACAGCTTAGTGCTGGGTAGATGGTACCCATCTCAGCGTTCGGCCGCCACATTACCAAAATGTTAGGAGAGCCGACAAGTCAGCCAGCACTGCAGCTCCAGTAGGGTCCTGAGAATTAATCTGGCTCCACTCCTTGAGGCCCAGGAGGACCCCCAGGAAGCAAGAAATTTAGGGCTGCTCTGCTTTACACTCAGTCCACCCCTGGTTCTTCTTGCCTTCCTCCCAGCTGAGGGTGCTAACACCTGCCATACCCACCAAGCATATCACCACCATCTGGCCAAATTTTCCAGCAGTGGGCACCTTGGGCACCTGCCCACAGTTGAGGACACTGGAGTTGTGAAGGCCAAGGGGCTTGTCCAAGGTCAGTGGGATGGTGAGTGGTAGCACATCTCAGGAGCCAGTCTGTCGTCTGCCTTTTAACATCTCCATACCCTACCTTTCACCCTGCAGGAAGAGGCAGCAGAGGACCCTGGATGAGCTCTTGGAAAATGGGGAGGTTCAAGATTGGAGTAGGGGGTGGCAGCAGGGAGGGTGCTGCAGCTAGAGCCCCCCTAGAGTCTGCCCACAAGGGCTGAGTGCACTCCGCTGCTGGAGTCATCAAAAGACAGTCTTCAGCAGCCCGCCCCGCCCCTCCCCGATATTCTCGCTGCCAAATGAAATCTGGCAGCTTCTGAAAATAGCTCCACGCTGCAGCAGGCACCCTGCCCGCCCTTCAGCAGGCTGGTGCGCAGCTGGGGGTGGCCGCTGTGGGCAGACACTGGCACTCATGGGGCTGGGGGTGGGTGTCACACACATGGTGCACAGGGGCAGTGCAGAGCTGGGGGGCATGTGGCAGCTGCCATCACTCAGTTCCTCTGACCTTCCTGCACCCAAGGAGGCCTCAGTGGCCCTGAAACCAGTTGGGCACATTCACCAGGCTCAAGGTAGAGTTAAGACTGGGTGTGAACAGCTATCACTATGGTCCATTCACATGGACAAAGAGAAACCCAGAGGCCAGTGGCAAATGTCAAAATGACCTTTATTCATACCTAGTTAGAAAACCCAGAGCATTGTCCCACCTGACATGGCCCAGCCACTGATTGAGGGGCCAGGAGCTGAGAACTTGACTGGGTGACAGGCACTGTAAGGGTTGAAATCAGGCACTTCACAGCCAGCCCAGGGCTCCCTGGGGCAGAGTGAGGGCAGGGGACTGGGTGACCTGGGGCAACCCAGAAAGGGTGTGCTCTGCTTTAGCTCAGGCTGAAACTGGCAGCAACCTCTGTGAGCATCACTCAGGTCTGACCCAAAATAGAGAAGAGATCCTATGGTCCTGCTCTAAGCCTTATACTGGCCATCACAGGAGGGGCAGGGCAAGTAAAGTGTCTTTCTTGGCTTTTGGTAGAATGACATTTTCCAAAGTGGAAAAGGGTTTAAAATGACTCTTCCCGCTCTTGAGCTGAGAGGAGAAACCACCCTTGGGTGGACAGGAACAACTGGGGTACTAAAAGCAGGGAATCCTGGGGAAAGAGCTCCAAGCACCATCTGACTGGCTGCAACAAGGTAGAGCTGGACCACCCAGGGAGGCAAGCAGTCAGGACCCTGTGGCCTCAGGGAGACCAAAGAGGGGACTGAGAGAAGCGGCCACCCTCAGACTGCAGAGGTAGGCCCTCTCCTGCTGCCTCCCTTCCTCCCTCCCTTGCTACCACACTCAGCATGCACAGACAGCCATGCAGTCCCTGGTCACCATGGTAACCAATGGCCGATGCCTTTTCCAAGGCCAGGCCCATCTGCCCAGGCCCACAGTGGGTGTCTTTATGGAAGAAGGGAAGCCCACCACAAATCCATGGCCCAAAGGCCAAAATATGTCCCAGGGCAGAACAAAGTCAAGGCCTCCCCAGGGCCCCCAGTACCACAATTGCTGCAGGTGCTATGGGTGCTCCTCAGCCCCAGGCAGTCTCCTTCTCTTAGGTGAGAACCTGGGCAGGGGTTCTGACAAGAGGTGTGGGTCAGATCCTCCATCTTGAAGTCCCAAGTGACAAAACATAAGAAAATAATCCTTTCTTTAAAACAATGGCCTTGGGCCCTGCCAGCCAGGACTTCAATAATCAGTCTGTCAACAGGCTGGCAGGCCTGGTTTGTCCAGGTCCTGGGAGCTACTGGTTGTTGCACCCCTGGGAGACTGAGGGGCCACCCGCCTGCTTCTTCCTCCGCTTGTTGAGAAGCCGGTTGTTGGAGGTCTTCAGGTCCTTGATCTTCACCTGGTCATAGTCCACCCGCATGGTGGCCAAGGCGCTGGTCATCTCCTCCTGGAGACAGATGCAACATGGGCCTTAGGGGCAGGCCCTTCTGCCTCAGCAGCCCCTTCATAATTTTAATGGGTACCACAGTTAAGCTGTTACTAGGAATGCCTGCATCCTATAGTGGAGTGCCTGGGTTCAAGCCCTGCTTCTGAGACCAGCATCCTGCTAATGTGCACCCCTGTAGCCAACAGATGATAGCTCAAGGATTGGGTATCTGTCAATTAGTGGGAGACTCGGATTCAAATTCGTGCTCCTTGCAGGCATCTGAGGGAGTGAACCAGCAGGTGGGAGACATTTCTCTCTCTATTTCTCTGTCTTTCATATAAATAAACATTTGAAGAACATCACACTGCATGCCCAGCACAGAGCCTAGCCCTCTATGTCATGTGATCCTCACTATAGTCCTTTCTGGAAGATGTTCTGCTTTTCCTCTGGTGGCACAGAAAGGACCCATGAACCATGCCAAAAGCCAAGTGACAGGCCATAGAACGAACGCTCCCTCTCAGAACTGCACAAAATGCCACCTCCCTGGGCCTGGCAGACACCAGACTGCTGCCCATGCACCTAGATATGGCCTCTGCTGAGCCTCAAGTCAAACTGACTTACTACTCAGTATCACTGGAAATAAAAGGCTATGGCTACCATTTGGGACCAAAACTGAGCCCCAAGTCCAAAGCTGCCTTCACTGAGGTAAGCAACCAGAAGTATACCCTGGGTGGAGTGATGTGGCCGGTGGTTTGGTGTCCGGGTTGGACCACTGGCATAGCACTGCCACCTGGCGTCCCAGGCATGGGTAAGGGGCCAAAGACTCAGACCCTGCATAACCACCTCGAGGCCCTTCTTCCAAAGCTCTGGAGTGCAGGGAGACTAAGGAGTTCACTCACCTTGACTTCGTCCCAGTGATCCTTGTCCTCCTGAAGCACCCGGGCGGTGTAGAGGGGAGTCGGTGGCACCACCATTGATTGCTGGAGAAGCCCCAAAACCACAGGTCAACTTGGGAAAACTGCAGGACGCAGCTTCACCCACCTAAGCCTGGAACCCGAGGTGCAGAGGTGGTGCAAAGCATGGGCACTAGGGGGCGCTGGTGTACACACACACACACACACACACACACACACACACACACACACGCCTCCCCACCCCACATACACACCATTCCACCCCATCCCCACCCCCACTAACCCAGCACCACCATCCTGTAAGCTGGACAGTCCTGCCCAGTGCCAGGAAGTGCTCACATTGATCCAGGGGTGGTTCATGAACTGTGCAATGGTCAGCCTCTCTGTGGGATCTGTCTTCAGCAGGAGGCGGATCAGCTGTTTGGCTAGGAAGGCCAGGCAGGGGAGGGGAGAGGTGAGGCAACAGGATTCCTCTGAGCCCATTCCCCACTTCCCATGGAACACAGACTTGGTAGGGGCAAGTGAATTCTAAACCCTCAGAAATAGGAAGCTGATGATCCATTTTTCTTTTAAGGAACTTGGTGTCTAGCGCAACTCACTCAGAAGTAATAGATTAAAAAGCCAGGACCCCAGAAGGGAACATATGAATGAGAAACAGGAGTTGCAGTTTTAAGGAGTCAAGCTATGCGCCTATTCGGCAGATGTACAAACTGGGGTTTGGAAAAGGTGGATAGTTTCACCTCAAGCCACAGAGCTGGGAAAGAAAGGAGCAGGGGGCACGGGGAAGATCCAGGGGGAAGGCAGCAGGGGCCAGGTTTACTCACCATCCTCAGACACATCTGACCACTCAGGATTGGGGAAGCCATACTGGCCCAGGCGGATCCTCCTCTTCATCCCTGGGGAGATGGCCTGGCCCGTGTTGGAGTAGAAGGGCGGGAAGCCACACAGGCTAGGGGAGGGAGGAGGTCGTTGGGCACGGGGCAGTGGGTAGTGGCAGGATGGACCTGTGTCCCAAACCCCTGACCAGACTGACAAGCAGCCAGGCATACTTCATGGCAATGCAGCCCCTGACCTTCCCCCAGAAATAGCTGGGCACAGGGAGACCTTCAGGAGGCCCGAAGTCTGGTGGCCCACGACAGGAAGGGGAGGGAGGCCTCCAGCAGGAGTGGTACACACAAGCCCCTCCCCCCCGGACAGGGAGGTGGATGTGGCTCTGAGAGTGGGGCGGGGCAAGGCTGTACTCACAGGATATACATGATGACACCCAGGGACCACATGTCACATGACTTGTCATACTTCTCTGGACCCAGGACTTCAGGGGCTGCCAGGGCAGAGGGCAAAGAAGGACTCTCAGACCCAAGAATCTTGGAGTGCAGGCAGGAAAGTGATGCTTGCACAAGGTGGGAAGCATCAGGTGCCCAGGTTGGGGGATGGAAGGTGTCTGGCACCTTCTGGGAATGAGACAAGCGTGTGACGCGGGAAGGAAAAGTGCTCAGGGGGAAATACACTGCTTCACAGCCCCTGGCTCCTCAGACGCTCAGGCCTAAGTGTCCCTGCCAGGCCCAACTTTGGCTGATGGAAGAGACCAGGGTGGGGGAAGGGGGCAGGGGCATTACCATGGACAAGTGGGTACTAGTCCACTGACTGCCCTGTGTCCTTTGCCTTCTTGGATATAGCCTGGGTTAAGATAAGGAAGAGCAAGAAGCAGAGCTGAGCTTTGTGGCCAGCGAGGTACCAACCCACAGGGCCTCAGTCTCCCATCTGAGTAATGGGGGCAGGGGAGTCACTCAGATTTCTAAGATAAAATAAAAAGGATCCGTCCTGATGGGCAGGGTGGCAGAGGGGGCATCCCCTCTTTCAGCAGCCTCTGGGAAGCCTTCTGCCACCAGCCTGCTCCCAGGCATGGGTCCTACCAGCAGCAGGGCCCATCCAGCTTGGGGTAGGGGGAGCTGAGGGCAGCTTTTTTAGGAAGCATGAATCAGCACACGCCCCCAGGGCCCGTCCATACCCAGGGCCAAGGCATCTCTTCCCCCAAAGCAGGTGAGGTGCCCAGCTTGCAGTTTCCTTCCAATGAAGCAGAAAAGGCCCACCCACTTTCTGAATATGAATCCCAGAAAGACAAAAACCGGAGAAAAACAACCGCGGCTGGGCTCTGTCCCGAGCCGATGGCAGCCTTTTATCACATATATATTTAGAGCTGCTGTGATGTCATTCAGCTCACAGGCCACAGCCAGAATTTTCCTGGATCTATTTTCAAAAGCAGAAGCTGAAGTTTGGGAGAATATTTTTACAGCCTCCGGCCCCCCCACTCCCAATGTCACCCGCCTCCATGCAGACAGAATTCCCCCCTCCCTTCTCACTGAGATTTAACCCTTTGGTTTCTGCAACACACCAGCTGCCCTGCACCACAGCAGCATCCTGCCAGAGTGAGGAAGTATAAGCCAAGGACCCAGGACATACCCACATAATAGGGAGTGAAGCAGGGTGTCTGCAGGGCACTTTGTGTGGTCTCCTTGGCAAAGCCAAAGTCAGTGAGTTTCAGCACTGCATCTTTCTCCTTGGATGTGTAGAGCAGGTTTTCAGGCTGAGCCAGGGAGGGAAAACATTGGTTTGCAATTAGGTACCACATGAGAGCAGAACCCTAAGGTGATCTCGGGTCAGACTCCCCACCTTCAGAGCAGGAGGGAGCAGGTCTGTCATGTGAGGGTGGGAGCCTTGGCTGTCAACAATATGGTTTGAACACAGAGAAGATTGAGGTGGCTGGGAGGTGACACCTTGTTCACAGAGGGTGATGGCAGCAGCTGCTCACCCAAGGCTGTGGATGGGCAAGGATCATGGAAAGCTCGGGGGCAGAAACTCTCCTCCCAGAGTTGGTAGTGCCACCTGACATGCAGGAATGAAGGCATGAGGGGAGGCAGGTTATTTCCAAGTCTGTATGGCCAAGCATGTGTCCCATGCCCAGCCCCACATGAAGCCTGCAAGTCCTAACAGGGTAGCCCCAGGGGAGGTTGTTCAGGGAGCAACCCCACTGCTCAGATCCCAGTACCCTTGGGGAAGCAACTCCTCCTAGCTACACAGCACAGTAGAGAGGAGGTAACCCTAAAGCTGACTTCTCATAAATGGGTGGGATCCAGGCTCACAGAGAGAATCAGGAGGGACCCCGAAAACAAGAAGAATGTGGTATTGGTTGAAGCTCTGGTTTGAAGCCAGCAGAAGCTATTTCTCAGGGTCTTTTTGATGTGATCTGACCTCGGACTGGGATAAAAACAGACAAGGAGTTTTAGTCTATGCCAGAGATTGTCCTATACAAGCGTTTTGTCTTCTTGCAAAATAAAAAAAAAAAAGTGAAAGAAAAAAAGAAAGCAAGAGGAGGAAGAGAATAAGAGAGGTCAAAGTAAAGCAAGGAGTCAGAAGGTGAGCCACGTGGCTCTGCACACATCCAAAACTGAAGGACAACTGCAGGGTGGGCACTTGGCACAGGGCTAAAATAGCCACTTGGGACACCTGGATCCCATATACAAGTGTGCTCTCCATGCCAGCTTCCTGCTAATTTACATCAGCAGGTGATGGCTTACGGCTTGAGCCTGGCCCAGCCCTGGTTGATGTGGGCCTAGCACCTCCAAGGTAGCAGTCAATCATTTTTGCTCCTCCTGAGTATGCTGTGTTGAAAGGAAAAGGAGGCCTTTTGGTTAGCGCAGACCAGAGCTGGCTGGGCCAGGGAGAAGAGGCTTGAAAGGCTGGCCAAGGAGCCTAGCCTATACCCCAGAACCACCAGGGATTGTACAGTGGGACCACACCCCTGGTTTGGGCCCCCATCTTGGGCCCTACCACCTTACCTTGACATCGCGATGGGCAATGTTCTGGCTGTGCAGGAACTGGATGGCTGTGCCGATCTCCCGCATTATCTCTGCAGCCTCTGCACACACAGAAAAGGGGTCGGGGATTAGTGATGTTGCTTAGGAGGCCTGGGGATCCCCACCTACTCATTCTCCATGGGTATAGTCTAGCCAGTCACAGCGCTCCTGCTCAGACAACCCAGTTCTCAACACAGATGCTCCCAGCTCACCTGGACCCATCTCCTTGGGCCCAGACTAGCTCTTTCCAGCTCAACTCCTGGTCAGCATGAAGGGGTTCTGAGATCTCTATCCTTAGGCCTCACAGAGTCCACCTCCAGCAAGGGTCACGGAGCCCTCATCCCATCCTGTCTTGCTTAGACTAAGACACAGAAGGGAACAGGGCTTGGCCAGCATCACCTGGCACCTTTAATCTACCCACTCCCCAATGCCCAACCAAATCCTACTGCATGCACGCACCTCTCTCAGTGAAAGCCTGGTCACCACGCTCCTGGATCCTGCTGAACAATTCACCACCTTCCATGCTGCAAGAGAAGGCAGAGAATCTGGTACCAGCCTGCCCCTGCCCACATTGTTAGATCCAGTGCTCCTTTCCTAGTGAACAGCTGCTGCACCTGCCTGTACCTTGACCTTCTAGCATGTGCTGGGCAGACAGCTCAGGTGGGCAGATTGAACTCTTCCAACCAAGGGAGAGTGGCAAGCACTGCCTCTCTCTGGCTGTGAGACCCTGGACAACTCTAACCCCAAACAATCTCAACTTCCTCCAATGCAAGAATGAGTTGCCAATTGTTTTATCACTGAGATCCCCATTCTCTGAGCACCTGCTGTGTGCTGTGCCCTGGGCACTGTCTGTCACTCTTGCTACTGCTGTGGGACCTGGGCTGGTTCTTTCATTTCTCTGTGCCTCAACTAGCTCTAGTAAATCAGGTGTAACCACACCAGTGTCACGGGCATAAAGACTGCATATGTGACAGAGTAATGTCAAGCACAGATTGGTGCCACATGAAGCTCTTATTCTTCATTTGACAGGTGACTTGGAGAGATTCAGAAAGGGTAGCAGCTGCCCACAGGCACATACCTAGCAGGTGGCAGAGACAGGATCTGAACCCTTGATCCAAGGAGTTGGCTAACCTGGGACCAAGCTCTAGGGCTGGTGGGAGCAGCACAAGGAGAGGAGAAGGTCACTGGCTCCTGGTTCCAGTCCCCATTACCCAGCATCTGGTGGGACTTTGAGAGCACAACCTAGTAGGAAGGCTAAAGTAGAGGGCACCATGTGTGTGCCCCATGTTCGCCACCCACATATGCCAAGGATTGGCAGCCCTGACAACCCTCGCAGCACAGACTGCTGCTCCTCCAAGGACAGGCTTTGCCCCTCAGGGAAGCCAGGGTACAGCCCCTGGGATGTCTTTCACACTCCGAGGCCAGATCCATGCACAGGATCAATGGCTGCCCCCACCTCAGGGGCTGGGGTGGTACCCATGGCTGCTATCCAAACAGAGAAAGGTACAGGAGGAGAGCAGGGGGCCCAGGGCTAAGACAGTGGGGCTGGCATACCACTCCATGATGATGAGCAGGCAGCGCTTGCCGCGGTGCATGTTCTCATAGACGTCCAGGATGCGTACAATGTGGGGGCCACCCGAGGCCTGCCAATGGTGCTCCACTTCCTGCCGGGCCTTGGGGTTGTCATACAGGAGCTGTAGGCAATGGGCACAGAGTGTCAGCCTCCCAAGCCTGTTGCTGTCTCACCTGGCATACAAGGATGCATGAACTCAGAGAAGTTTGTCCAAGACTATACAGTTCACATAGGGGCAGGATGAGGAGTCAAGTCTGGGTCTCCCTGCCTGCTGTCCAATGAGCCTCTGGACTGGAAGGTCCACCCAGGACTCAAGCAATTGGGCTGGTTACTTCAGGAGGTTCCACTAGAAGGCTGGACACATGGAGTGGCTCAGGGGTCAAAGGAACTGCTGCCTTCCTTCTCTGGGGCAGCAAACAGCATGGCAGGCAGTGGCAATTGTCAAACCATACTAGCTGGGGGCCCAAGCCAGGAGTCACCCAACCTTTGAGCCTCATTTTCACAATGGGGATGACTTGAGAGCTCCATGGCCCAGGCTGGCATTGGGAACTATGCTCATGAAGTACACAGGAGGGCAGGGTGTTGTGCATGCAGTCTGTCCACAGCACCTGAATGTGCAAGTGGAGGATGCTGCCTGGGAGGGAAGTGACTTGCAGCAGTCAGTCCCTCCCTCCACCCCCGGTAACAGAAGGCAAGCTCATGCTCCCACAGGAGCCAAGGTAAGAAAAACTTCAAATCCTCCAGGAACAGGTACAGGATAAAACTGTCACTACCAGGAAAAGTGCTCCTAAAAACAGCTGCCCAGCCCTCACCTCCCAGCCAGTCCATGGCTCCCATTGTCCCTGGAGGCCATCATGTAGGACCAGGGTGACTGGTTTTAGCCTTGTTGCTAGACAGAGCTCAGGGTCCAGGTTCCACCCTCAATCCAGACCTACAGGCACCTGAAGAGAACCCAGTAGTAGAGACCAGGGCCAGGGAGGACCCCAGCTGAGAGGGATGGCGGTTGGGTGGAGTTAGGTGTGAGTTCAGGACTATACTTTGGCTGAGCCCATTTGGGGAGTAAATCAAAACATAGAAAATACCTTCTCTCTCTCTCTCCCTGCTTCATCCTTTCCCTCTTTCTCTCCTCCTCCCTCTCCCACTCCGCAATTGCCTTTCACATAAATAAATCTTTAATTTCAAAACCAGTCCTGGGTCAGGGTTGTGGCACATCAGATTAAGCCACCTCTTGAGTCATCATATCAGAGTGACAGTTTGAGTCTCAGTTACTCCCTTTGGATCCAGTTCTCTGTTCACACACCTGGGAAAGCAGTGGTAGAAGGTCCAAGTACTTGGATCCCTGTTGTTCATATGGGAAACCCCTGCAGTTCCGGGCTCTTGGCTTTGGCCTGGCCTAGCCCTGGTTGTGGGAACCATTTGAAGAGTGAGTTAGCAGGGTAAGATCTTTCTCTGTGTGACTCCCTCTGCTGCTCTGCCTTTCAAGGTAATAAATAGATTTTTTTTTTTAAATCACATAGTCCTGCAAGCAGCAAGGGCCACAGAAGAAGGCTGTTCCCAGAAAACATGATCCATGTCCAAAATGGCTCCTCCACAGAGGCCAGAGCTTGCTCCTCAGCGCACCTGGACCCAGCTGCCAAGGACTCTGCTGAGTCACCTGACCCTTAACAGAGCTCCAGACTGCTTAATGCCTCAGTTTCCTCCGTCCTTCTCCAGAGCTTCCTCCTCCTTCAGGTTCCCCTCCCAGTAGTGCTTCCTGACCACCAACAGGTAAAGGATCTCAAAGGCCCTCACTCTGCCTTCATGCTTTGCCTTTCCTTATTTGTGCGGCACATGCACTTCTGATGAACTATAATCTACATCTGGTATCAAGGGTCCAGTTCAATGAGTCTGGACACTGCATGTGCCTCAGGGACCCACAACTCTAGCAAGTCAGAAAGCAGGAGCCAGCATTGAGCCACAGTGAGTTAAGCTACCACCTTGGCACCAGCATCCCATGGGTCCCAGTTTCTATTTCTGCTTCCAATTTAGCTCCCTGCTGAAAGACCTGGTAAAGCAGAGGATGGCTGAAGTGCTTGGATTCCTGTCATCCAAGTGGGAAACTAGAATGGAATTGTTGGCTTCTGGCTTCAGCCCGTCCCAACAGACCTGGCTGTCACAGCCATTTGGGGAATAAGCCAACAGAATGGAAGATTCATTCTCTCTCTCCTTGTGTCACTCTTTCAAATTAATAAGTACTGAAAAAAGAAAACATTCCCGTCATCCCATGTCATCACCCTCATTACTCACTGCACAGCACTTGCTCACAACTTGCATGATCTTGTGAGAACTCTTTAAATACAAACACACATGCGCAGACACATACACCCTAGGCTTGCAACATACCTGGCTCTGCTCAGAGCATTTAACACATATTAGGAGAAAATGACTTTATTGTAACTACTTTATTTGAAAGTCAGTAAGAGAAGACAGGATAGAACAGGAAGGGGAGGGGAGAGTTGGGGAGGAGAGGAGAGAAAAGTAGTGTGTGAGACAGAGGAAGAGAGAAAAATAAACAGAAAAAATTCCAATCTATTGGCTCACTCCCTAAATGTCCAGAAATGACACACAATGTTAAAACAAGAATCTAGGAACTCCCATATGGGTGGCAAGGACCAAGTGCTTGAGCCTCGCAGAGTGTGCAACAAACAGCAGAAAGCTGGAAAGGAGAATGGAGCAAGACTTAAAACCAGACCCTATGATAGGAGATGCAGGCACTACAAAGAGTAGCCCAACTGCTACACTATAGACTTGTCTATTTTTTTTTTTTTACTTTTTCTTTATTTTATTGTCTCACTATTGTTTTATTTTAAAATATTTTCTGAGCCCAGTGCAGTAGCGTAGTGGCTAAAGTCCTCACCTGTACATACTGGGATCCCATATAGGTGCTGGTTCATGTCCTGACACCTAGCTTCTCTTCCAGATCTCTGCTTGTGGCCTGGGAAAGCAGTAGAATATAGCCCAAAGCCTTGGGACCCTGCACCCATGTGGGAGACCTGGAAGAAGCTCTTAGCTCCTGCTTCGGATTGGCTCAGCATCAGTTGTTGCGGCCACTTGGGGAGTTAATCAGCAGATGGAAGATCTTCCTTTTTGTCTCTCCTCCTCTGTGTAAATCTGTCTTTCCAATAAAAATAAATAAATCTTTAAAAATATTTCTTTTCCTACTTATTTGAAAGTCAGAATTACAAAGGAGGAGAAAAAGAGAAATACAGGCCCGGCATAGTGGCCTAGTGGCTAAATCTTGCCTTACATCCACCGGGATCCCATATGGGCATCAGTTCCTGTTCCGGCTATTCCACTTCCCATCCAGCTGCCTGCTTGTGGCCTGGGAGGGCATTAGAGGATGGCCCAAGCCCTTGGGATCCTGCACCCACATAGAAAACCTGGAGCAAATTCCTGGCTCCTGCTTCAGATCAGCTCAGCTCCAGCCATTGTAGCCAAGATAGAATATCTTTCTCTCTGTCTTTCCTTCTCTCTGTATATCTGTCTTTTCAATTTAAAAAATTAATCTTAAAAAGAGAGAAAGAGAGAGAGAGAGAAACAGAGTGACATCTTCCATCCTCTGGTTCACTCTCCAAAAGGCCACAACACGCAGGGTTGGACCAGACTGGTGCTGAGAGCCAGGAGTTTCTTCCAGGTCTTCCATGTGAATGGCAGTGGCCCAATAATTAAGGTCCTCCTCCACTGCTTTCCCAGGCCAGTAACAGGGAGCTGGTAGAACAGCCAGGACTTAAACCAGTGCCTACTTGGGATGCTGGCATTGCAGTCATCATATTATTATTATTATTTATTAGAAACGGAGAAACAGAAAGAGGAAACTGTTGGTCTTTGACCACATAGCTATTCCCCCAGCCAAGCCAGCATCATGCAATTTCTCTTGTCAGATCGTGGAACCTTATGGCAAGGGCAGGGCCAGTGTGTCTGGACACATTTGGGTCTCAGTACTGGGGTACAAGCTGGGTAGAGATTACTGGCTCAAGGAATATTTGTAGATGGAATGAACAACTATATAATTTGAAGAGGAAGGAATACACAAGGCATCATGGGGATAAGATCAAAACAGTCCCCACTGAGACTCAACAAATAAACATGACACACTGGCCAAACCTGCTCCCCACAGCCTGGAGGCAGTCTGGACCTCACCAACCCTTGTTGGTGAATTAGATTTTCCCTCCTCTTCCAAGGAGCCTACCAGGGCTGCTCCAGTTTACAACTCAGTGCTAGCCGGCCTTGTTCCTGTAAGTCCAGAATTCCACGCATCCTTCACAAACCTCCCAAACAGCACTCCACCTTCCCAGGCATGGGGATAAGCACAAGGCCAGGGCACCAGAGGCTCAATTCAATCCCTATTGAGCATGATCTTGGCTCAGCCGTTTTCCCTCTCTGGGCCTCCACCCAAAGTGAAGCTGCAGGGCATGAGGTGGAGGAAATAGGTAAAAAGAGGTCCTCCAGGGCGGAGTTCTGGTCCCATTCTTACATCACTGCCCACATGAAGCAGTTCCTGGGTCTCCACTGCCTCCATGTGCACATACCCAAGTCCCTGGGGGTTCGTAGCAATGGCAATGGTGTCTTGCTTCTCAGTCAAGCACAAGGGACAGGCGCCTCCAACAACCCACAGACCCCTCCCCTCCCCTCATTCCCATCCTGTGTCCCCTGAGCTCCTGAGCGGTCCACAGCTGTGGGGTCTAGGACAGCACCTGGGCAGCTCCACAGCTCCAGTCTGTGCCCAAGAGGCTCATGCGTGTGTGCACTTGCACACACACACATGCTCATGCACATAATCCTGGTTGTCACCAAAGGAAGGGAGCTCTGGCTGTACTTGACGAAGCTCAGTGAGCACAGAATTTGAGCTGACACTTCCCTGAGTAAAGGATGCTGCCCTGAGCAAGGGACATTTCTCTGAGCGAGGAATGCTACCCTGGTCTCAGGCTCTGATGTGGCACTCTCCATCTCTCCTCTCTCGCCTCACTTTCCTTGGCCAAATTCTCCCACCTGTGCCCAAAACTGGCAGCCAAGACCCCTAACAGGCCCATCAGCCAAGGAACCCCAGCAAAAGGTGAGGGCAAAGGGGCCTAGGTCCTACAG